ACCTGGATATTTTGTGTATTGTATTATGAGACTCCAAACCTTTTTTAAATCTTCTGTTTAACAGGCCTCTTGTGATGCTGCTCCAATAGGGACTAGGTGCTGCATCATTACTGCAGGTGGGAATGAAGGTCCAGTTTCTCACCTCAGCCTCCACTGACTCCAGGGGGAAAGATTTCTCATTACTGTTAGCTTGGAAAGGCATTCAAGCTCTTCAGTAAAATGAAAGAAAAGCTGTAGCCTGGGAGAAAATATTTATAAATCACATATCTAACAAAGGCTTATGTCTGGAATATATATAAAGAGCTTTTAAAACTCAACAGCAAAAACCAAAAAACAATCTAACTATAAAATGTTCAAAAGACAAGCACAGATGTTTCCCCAAAGAGGAGATATAGTTAGCCACAAGCACATGAAAGGATGTTCAACATCATTGCTATTAGGGAAATACAAGTTAAAGCCAAAATGAGGTATCACTCTACACCTATTTAAAACGGTTTCAAAATAAAAAATAATAATAGTGATAATATCAAATGTTGGTGAGGATGCAGATAAACTGGATCAGTCATACTTTGCTGGTGGGACTATAAAATGGTACAGACACTCAGAGTATGGCAGTTTCTTAATAAGTTCAATGTAAATTTTCACCATACTACTTAGCAGTTACATTTTGGGCATTTATCCAAGAGAAATGAAAACTTATATGGGAATGTTCACAACATCTTTATTTATAATAACCCCAAACTAGAAACAACCAAAATGTCTTGATGTCTTGAGGAGTGAATGGTTGAATAAATTCTGGCACATTCACGGACAGTATTCAGCAATGAAAGGAGATGAGCTACTGATACATCATTCTTTTTTTAAATTTTTATTTATATATTTTTTTACATCATTGTTCATTTTTAAACAATGTTTGCTTCCCACCCCTGCCCCCCATCAGGTGTAGTCGACATAGAATTTCCTTCACCAATGCACCTGTGCATCATCACCACAGTCCCCTGTGCTCTTCCCTCCCTCCCTCTGATCCCTCTCCCTCTTCCTCCCCTGCAGGATGTCTCTGGTTTATAATTATCTGTTTGTTTTTGTTTTGTTGTGTTGTGTTTTGTGTTGTTATTTTTTCCCCTGATGTCTTATTTGGTTCCCCTATATTTCTCCTATTAGTGAAACAATCTGATATTTTTCTTTTTCTTTCTGACTTATTTCACTGATACATCATTCTTGATGAACCTCAAGAGTATTATGCTGAGTGAAAAAAACCAATTTCAAAATGTTGCATCTGTATAGTTCTGTGTGTATAATATATTCAAAATGACTAGGCTTTCGAGATTAAGAACAGATTACTTGTTGCCAGGCGACAGCGATTGGAGTGGGGCAAGGTGGGGTGGGAGTGATTATAAAGAGCTAGTTCAAGGGCATTCTTTTGTAGTGATGAGAAAGTTGTGTCTTGATTGTGGTGGTGGTTACAAGGTCGAAGGACCTAAACGTGGAATAAAGTTGTGTAGAACTATATAGATAGCACATATAATCCACACACATGAATACATAGTGAAAATTGAGTGAGTTCTCTCCTGCACTGTTGGTGGGAGTGCAAACTGTTCCAACCACTATGGAGAGCTGTGTGGAGATTTCTTGACCTACTAAACATAGAGCTTCCATATGATCCAGCAATTCCACTCCTAGGTATTTACCCAAAGGACACAGAAACATCAATTCCAAAGAGCACCTGCACCCCTGTTTATAGCAGAACTATTTACAATAGCTAAGCTTTGGAAACAACCCAAATGCCCAAAAATAGATGACTGGATCAAGAAGATGTGATACATATACACCATGGAATATTACTCAGCATTCAAAAAAGATAAACACATGCAATTTGCAGCAACATGGATGGTGCTGGAAGGGATCATGCTCAGCGAAATAAGCCAGAAGGAAAAAGAAAAATACCGTATGGTCTCACTCATAGCAGGAATCTAGAAAACTTAAATAAGGGACCAGGAAAAAGAATAACTATAAGAAAGAAAAAATCAAAATCAACAACTATGAACCAGAGACACTCTATGGAGGGTGGGGGGCGGGGAGGGGAGGGATTGGGGTCAAAATAAGGGGTTGTAATTGTATGGGGAATATAAAAAATAAAATTTAAATAAAATGTGAAAAAAAAAAAGAAAATTGAGTGAGTTCTGTAATCTAGTTTACAAAAATGTGCCAGTGTATATTTTTGGTTTTGATATTGAACTACAGCTATATAAGATGTCATCATTAGGAGATTCTGGGTGTAAAGGATTACAAGTCTGTTTGCACTACTTGTGCAACTTCCTGTGAGTTTATAATTACTTCAAAATTGTTTTTTTAATTCACATTTATCTTACATGGTTTAAATCTAGTTTTGTTGAAGGCAGAATATTAGGAAAGCCAATATTTGCCAGCCCCCATTTTTCAAAATATCTTAAGGCCAATGGAACCCACATATATATAGTAATAAAAAATCTAAATGTAATAGTCTTTTCCATTTCTTTTCGTTTCCTTTTAAATATTACCTTTAAGGGAAAACTCACAGTAATCAACAATTATTATTAGAGGCAGGGCTATGTTCTTAGCACTGTGCTGACTGCTCTTTTTCTGCCAATAAAAAAATACAGGACAGTTCTCATTCATATCCTTTACACACAAGGATGAGCCCAAATTTGACCAAAACCAAACACATTTTCAAGAAAATAAAATTGCACAACTTCCTTGGTGACACATTACTTTCAATCACCACTCACTGACTGGCATAGATATAATTGACAGTTATGAAAATTGTGTGCTAGTTATAACTATCACTTTTCCTCCCACTCAAGAAAGTGTGTTGGAATGCAAGCGAGGGGATATGACCTTATTATGTAGAAAACTTGGAATGTGCTCAAATTTATTTAAATTAATTATAATATAGTTATAGAAGTAGGTAGTATAAATAGTGCATTTAAGAGCACCCATTTTGAATGCAAAAGAAGTAAGATATATGGCTCCTGCCTTAAAAGCTGCTGATATGGCTATGGTACACCAGAAAAAATTCTGAATTTCAAGACAGACCTGGATTTTAATTCCAGTTCTGCTGTCTACCAGACAAATCACTAAACCTCATGTAACCTGAGTTTCCTTAACTATTGCAATAATACCCATTACATGGACTTGTTATTTGATGCCGCTCTCACTTCTGTGAAAGGTACCTAGCACCATACTTGACTCATATAGCTCTTGTTCACAAAATGTTTGATTTCACACAAAACTTTGCCACTGAATTTGTAAAGGCAATACACCCATATATGCGCACATACAGGTGAAGTAAATGATAAATACATAATAAAAATGATAAATCCTGAGATATAAATTATGAAAAAGAGGAGTTGGAAAATAGAAAGTGCCAAAATGGCTGCAAGCTTCCAAGAAGGCATCATGATGGGAACGAGATTCGAAGTGGGTTTTGAAGAATGAAGAGGTAGAGAAGTAGATAGGGTGGGGAGACCATTTCAAACAGAAGCAAGAGCCTGAGGTTTTATGGGAATCAGCATTGACAAATTTATACTACTTGAAACCTGCTGTTCCATTAGATTATATTTTGGAAATTAGAAATCTTAAGTTTCAAGCAATTTATCCTACATTATCCCAACATTTGCAGTGTATTTTTTTAAAGATTTATTTATTTATGCATACAAGAACTGGGGTACAGGCCAGAGGTGCAGGAGATGAGAGGATTCACCAGAGACAGAGTGGGGAACGAAACAGGCAGATTGACTGAAATACACTGCTGAGGGGGAGCAGCAGGCGAGTCAGGAGAGGTCTGCTGCGCTATGTGGGTCAGCTCCCTGTCTGGGGATCGAACTCCTGCTGCAGCAGCTATGGATAGCTTCATAGGTTGCATCTTAACCCCTTGCGCCGCCAGGGAGGCTCTGCAGTGTATTTTAATGATATTGTTGGATATTAGAGCCCCTACTTCATTGCTAAGACACTTGTATACCTTACTTTGAAATCTTGATTCATAAGATTTTCATAGCTCCTGTCATCACTTGTAGCTAAAGTAGGGTTGTTGGCAATAGATCCTTTATATTTAACAAAGATGAATGACATTATAATGAAAAATTAAGAGCTGGAATTTCAGTGTTTCTGTTAAACATTATAGAATTGTTTTCATATTAATGTATATTAATTTCAAAAAAGAAAACTGGCTGTCTATCTAACCAACTTCCTTTATCTAAATGATGATTGTTGTTTTTGATACTCTAACTTTGCAGAAAATATGAAATGTGAATGACTAATTTTCATATTTTAGATGCATTCTCGTGGAGAAATAGGTTGGTTTTTGAAAGCTTAATTTGGTATTCAGTGGATTTTGTCTTGTATGGTATTAAAGCAAAGGAATCTTTTTGTGGGGCAAATAGATCTGTCACATTCCCACCAATGGTAAATCAGCCAGAGATACTTGTAATTTATTTTTAAGATCCTTTTTGCTATATAATTTCAATTTTATCATTATTTTGGTAAACACATTTTTACATATATTTATTGAATACCTACTATACACAAAACAGTATACTCAGCATGGATGAGGCAAAAAGAGGAATGTGATATAGATCCTCAAGGATCTTTTCCTAAAGAAAGGAAAACATATACACAAAGAACTATAATAAAAACTGCTTTACTGTAAATATTATGAGCTCTGTAGAATTTCAGATAATGGAGGGAGCATTTTGAGTGGATGATTTCGTGGAGACAAGAACATTTGACTAATGCACAAGACTTATAAATGAATATTAACATGGCAGTCAGCGTGAGGTAGGAATCCTGAAATGACAGTTCTTCCAAATGCCAAGAATTTTTCTGTATAAACTGAGAAAATCATTCTAATACTAGTAAATGGCTAATATCTAAACATTCCCATAAATACCAATTTTAGTTAAATAGTTGTACTTTTATAAATAAATACTTTGCATTTGGTGGGTAATTGCTGTTTTTGTTTTTAGGCCTTGAATATTGTGGTTCCTTTCATGTTTAAATATGCTGTAGACAGCCTCAACCAGATGTCGGGAAACATGCTGAACCTGAGTGATGCCCCAAATACAGTTGCAACCATGGCAACGGCAGTTCTGATTGGCTGTATGTGTGATTCTTTAATCTGTCTACAGGTGTTGACTTTCTTCAAGGGAGTTTCATTATATTTGAGTATCATATTTCACCACCAACACAACTTAGCATTTTGGATGTTTATCATTTTATGTGAAAGGTTTTTTTTAATGATATGAAGTCTTCTAAAATTCATTGTGTGATTTACTTTTCAAACACTTCCTAACAAGTCTCATTTTCTAAGTGCTAGAAAATAGTAACATTAAACAAAACATTAAATTAATAGCAACCACTTCTAATAGTTAAAATCCTTATATCTTATACTTATTCAACAAAGCTGCTTTCTTGTCTTTGTTAGCTGTTAATTAAGAAATAGCTAAATAGCAATATATGTACATTAATGCTTTGTCAAATTATTTTCAATAGCCATGGTACAAATCTACAATTTGTAGTGAACAGAACATGATGCTTTATGTTCCCTTGCATTAGAATGGTCTCTCTCAGACTCAGAGACTTGAGTGTGGACATGCTTTTGTCAAGGCATTAGCTTTTTTAGGATCTAAATTTTATCATTTTTTATTTGGGGAAACTGAGTTGCATCAAAAAACCTCCACAGATACTGTACATTTATTCACAATAAGGCCATACGGGCTGCTATTTATTCAAAGTACTTTATTGGAAAAATCAATACACCCTAACTGTAGGGGAAAATAATACCTACAGGGATCCATGGTTGGTGGAAAGATTGGTTTTTCCTAGGCTATGTGCTTTCTAGATTTCTTTTAGTGTAAATGTTCTGTGATATATTCATTCATTATACATAATGAATAAAACCCTACCATTTTTACGTTCCTGATTCCAATGCTTTTATAACCCATTTTTTCTTTTGAATATATTGTTATGTTAGATGGTGTATCAAGAGCTGGAGCTGCCTTTTTTAATGAAGTTCGAAATGCAGTGTTTGGCAAGGTAGCCCAAAATTCTATCCGAAGAATAGCCAAAAATGTCTTTCTCCATCTTCACAACCTGGATCTGGCTTTCCACCTGAGCAGACAGACAGGAGCTTTATCGAAGGCTATTGACAGAGGGACAAGGGGTATCAGTTTTGTCCTGAGTGCTTTAGTGTTTAATCTTCTTCCCATCATATTTGAGGTGTCTCTTGTCAGTGGTGTCTTGGTAAGTAAAACATTTTTCATAACAAACTTTTATCATACATTTTCTTTAGTAGCTATTTAGTACTGGAAGCTGTTGTGTTATTACATGCCCGTGATTCAAAAGCAAAATTTCATGGTGCCAGAAGAATTATGCAGTTTGTTTAATTATTTTGCCACGAGCTTCAAAGGACTGTCCCAAGTCTTTATCATGTTGTTACTATAAAAGCTGTTGAGTTTTAAACATAGATCAGTCAATTTAACTAGTGCTTACAGTTTTTTTGTTAGCAAGATTTTTATGTGTGACGTTGGACTGGCATGCTCAGATTATCTAGGTTGCTATTCATTTACAATATTTTAAGCAGTTTCATATTTCATAATTAAAATGTACGTGTATATTTTTATTTCTTTTAAGGTTTATGTACTATTTTTATTGCCAGCATTTGACAGTAGTATCAGGGTGGCAAGTGCAGTTTGATTTTCTTTTCTTGTTACCCAAAGTGGATTTTCTAAGGTATTTGATTTCTCACTCAATTTTTCATTTATGCATTTCCTATAATTTTTATTAAAATATTTTGACTGAAATTAGCTGTTGTTTACTATAAACTGTAGGGCAAGAACAATGTTTCCCATTTCTTCTTTTGCTTTCTCCAGTATTACAAATGCGGTGCCCAGTTTGCATTGGTGACCCTTGGAACGCTTAGTGCATATACCGCATTCACAGTGGCTGTCACACGGTGGAGGTAAGGTATTCCCCAGAGGCCAGTCAAGGTTCAGAAATTCGTTATGCTCTTATAATAGACGTTTCATGCCTGTGCAACTCTTTGTCTTGCAGAACTAGATTTAGAATAGAGATGAACAGAGCGGATAATGATGCGGGTAATGCTGCCATTGATTCGCTGCTAAATTATGAAACTGTGAAGGTAATATGTTTAATTATATTTTCCTCTGCCTTTCACACTGAACTAAGATTTGTTCTGTCATTTAATTTAATGGGCGCTGTAAGTTAGAGCTTTAGATTAAGATAGAACTTCTAAGTGTAATGGAATAATAGTACTCTATTGTTTTCCTATTGTTTAGAAATCATCCTATTCACTTCAGTTTTTGGTTAACCCCATCAGAATTTTACCTTTCAAATTAATTTAGAAGTGATAAAAGTATGGTTACCATATTTAGCATTCAGGGTGAACACTAAGTTAATCAAAATGGTATGTAAAGTCCTGTTTCTGTACTCCTCAGAGTGGCTATCATTGTGCTTTTCAGTAATTCCTTCATTTATTTGTTCACTTTTGATATTACTGAATGTCTCTTACATGCAAAGCACTATGCTAAGTGCTGTGATGGAGAACGGTGGTAAAAAATGATTAATACTCAATCCTTGCCCTCCCAGAATTTGCTAATGTACTGGGAGAGTTAAAGTACGCAAGTGACTATACATGAAGGTATAATGATGCAGTGCAGCAGTGAGAACTGTCCATTCAAAGTCTTGGGAAATCAGAAGTCTTTTTGAAGGAAGTGAAATTGGCAGTTATTTTTAGATCTGGGTTTAAATTAATCATTCAGTAAATGTTTGTGGGATGGATTTTATGGACTTTACAAATACAGTTCATTTTGGAAAGCTGCAGTGGTTATCATAGTCCAGTATATTAAAAGTTAGTTTTAGAATGAAATATGCAATACAAAATCATCTGTAGATGAATTTCGGTGAAAAGGATACTATAGTAATGCATAAGAGAGTAAGTTATATTTATGTAATTGCTATTTCTGTGTATTTTATAGTATTTTAATAATGAAAACTATGAAGCCCAAAGATATGATGGATTTTTGAAGTCATATGAGACTGCTTCACTGAAAAGTACTTCTACTCTGGCTATGCTGAACTTTGGTCAAAATGCTATTTTCAGTGTTGGTTTAACGGCTATAATGGTGCTTGCCAGTCAGGGAATTGTGGCAGGTAATGGATCTGCGGATTTCAGATACATTTTACCTAACCTTTATAAATAAAGATTAATGGAAGGAATGCGTATATTAGTCTTAATTATAAAGCATAGTAAGGTGCTTGAACATCCTTAGAGTACTTTCCTTTTTGTATCAGAACGTATTCTCTTGATAGCATGGTACTATTTTTTTACTTTCTTTAGTTCAATGCTCCAAGTTTAGCACTGGCTCTCTCATTGATTGGGATTACTGTTTACACATACTGTTTTTTTCAGAAGTGACTTTTTTTAGCATCTAATGTTTCTAATTTGTAGACCTAGAAAGCAATGTAATAATGTAGTGTTTAGTCAAAGAACTAAAATGCAAGCAGTTTTTTTGAATTATTAGTAATCTTTGTTCTACTAGTTTTTCATTTGCAAAACATTTTGAAAGTAAATTATGTCTGTGTTGCTTTTCTGTAACTTGCCCACTCGATTAGAATTCATTCATTCACTGAATACGTTTTATCATCATGATAATATCCATTGCTCCAATTTTTAATATATGTTCTTTTTTTGTAAATTTCTGTTGTACATTATAGAGAAACTTGTTAGTGTCTTAGGAAGAAAGGAGAAGTTTTTAGCCTTCTGTATTTCTATCAAACCACTTTCTTTTATATGTATACACACATATATGTGTAATGTATAGTGACTTAGGGGTGGACTTTTCCCATTCCACCTAGCATATATCAAATTCCTTAAATTTCTAAATTGTGGATTAAATTGCTTTGAAATTATACTAGTTCTGACAGTTACTGATTATGTACATTTTGAACTGTATCCCAGAATAAGACTATCAATTTCTCTATCTTAAGCAGGAAACGTTTATAATATCGAAAATATCCTTTTTTTTCCTTCTACCAACTTCATGTCAAGGTACCCTAACTGTTGGAGATCTAGTAATGGTGAATGGACTGCTGTTTCAGCTTTCATTACCTCTCAATTTTCTGGGAACTGTATATAGAGAAACTAGACAAGCACTCATAGACATGAACACCTTGTTTACTCTACTCAAAGTAGACACCCGAATTAAAGTAAGTAATCTACTTACCACCTTTCAAAAGTATTTGAGCATCTCCCATTAATAGAATTGTTTTAGGGGAATGTTCTTAAAGTACCATGTCGACAAATTCTTTTTTGCAGGAATTAGAATTATCATGTATTGAGAGGTTGTGATAGCATTTACTTCTGTGTTTAGAAACCTTATGGTGTTGACAAAGAACATTATACCTAGACCCTAAATTTTGTAAATTGATGATTTGTACGTGCACTTGATTTATTTCTGCTAATAATAATATACAATGTAAATCGCCTCTCCTCACGTCCTCAACCTCCTTAATCCCCTGCCCACCTTCCCTCTACCCACTCCCCGCAGATTGCCCAGAAATCACTTTTTTACTTTATCAGTGAGGTGTGAAACAATCAAATCTTTAGCAGCATGCTTAAAAGTAATCTAACTCCACTTAAAAACCTTCTCCTTCCCCATTATTTTCCTTTTTCTTTCTGTGATTTAGAAAGTTTTCTGCATAGGTATACTCTAAGTGGTATGTAAAAGTGATTTTTTCCCCCTCTTCTCTGACAGGACAAAGTAATGGCATCGCCCCTTCAGATCACACCACAGACAGCTACAGTGGCCTTTGATAATGTGCATTTCGAATACATTGAGGGGCAGAAAGTCCTTAGTGGAATATCTTTTGAAGTCCCTGCAGGAAAAAAAGTGGCCATTGTTGGAGGTAGTGGGTCAGGGTGGGTAATTCAGTTATTTATAAAATTCTACATCATTGATTGTTGATTCCCAATGCGATGTTTTTTTTTTCTTTTTCATAATAAAATGATTATAGTGGTTTAAAACAGGGGTTCCCTAATGCCAGTAAGAGCTAAATAACCTTTCCTTTTCTTCAATTTCAGGAAGAGCACAATAGTGAGGTTGTTATTTCGCTTCTATGAGCCTCAAAAGGGTAATATTTACCTTGCTGGTCAAAATATACAAGATGTGAGCTTGGAAAGCCTTCGGAAAGCAGTGGGAGTGGTACCTCAGGTAATTTATTTTTTTATTTTTCTTTAGTTATTTTTTTTTTTTATATAGCTGTTTTTGAAATTGAGGTAAAATTGGTTTACAATGTTATTTTGTGTTTTAGAGGTATAAGATCCCCCACTTCAGGTGTTGGTACTATATCACGCCATCACCATAGTCCATCCCCAGAGTCCATTGTGCTCCCTCCCTACGTTGTTCTCATCTTTCTCCCTCCCCTCTCCCTCTGGTAGCCTTGGTTCTGCAGTCAGCTTTCTAGGGTTTGTTGTTAGTTTGGTTGTATCTGACCCTTTGTTTGGTTTCTCTCTCTCTATGTAAGTGACACCATTGGGTATTTGCCTTTCTCTTTCTGACTCACTTAGCTTAACGTAATCCCCTCCAGCTCCATCCATGTATGGCAAGAGTTTATCTTTTTTAAGAGCTGAGTAGTATTCCATCATGTTATACCACAAAAAGATAAAACATAGTTGAAGAAATATTTATTGCATTGGTGGATCTTTTACACGAATAATTTGTGTCTAAGAAGTCAAAATACGCTAGTGTAGTAGGAAGTATTAGGCCCTGTAGATCAAATCTGTTACCAAAAAGACAAATTAAATGTGAATGGAAAGTCTGCATGATAGATTTCTAAGCCTTAAAAAGATAGAATAACATAAAAGAAATAGCAGAGACTTAAGTCAAACAACTGGAATCTACACCCAGCTCTAACCCTTCTAACTTCCGTGGTCTTGGGTCACAGTTTGATCATCTAAAATAATGAAACCATCTTTCTTAATAGGATAGATAATTATCATGGATTAGATGTAATATGTTTAAAGTACAAGCATAGTATCCATCACATAATTGTTTAGTAAATGAAAACTCATAATTTTGAACAGTTTGACATAGTAAATTTATAGAAATTATAAAGCAGTTTAACTGCCGACTTCCAAGTTTATACATATATATACTTATATATACTTATATACTACTTATATATACTTATATACTACTGTCTTTTCAGTACCAAGCACAGTGCCTGACCAGTAGTAAATATTTAACAAGTATTTCCTGAAAAGATTTCAAGGGAAAAAATTCATAGGAAGGTCTGAGAAGACAAGGAGGAAATAATCTTATAGGGTGTTAGTTTTTCTTATGTTCAAAGCCAATAGAAAAGCCTGGTAACTAGTTGTAGCTGGTATATATTATAAACCTGGTTCCTGGAATCATAATCCAATCTCTGGGAGGGATCAGACAGGGATATATAACTTATAAAAAGTCCCCAAGTGATCTGACACTTGACATTCTGCCCTGTTCTCCCTTTCATTGAGAATCCCAAATTGATTGTTACTGTCCATGAATTACCTAGGGAGGTTTTTGAAATTTCAACTCTCTTTCACATATACCTTAGCTCTTAGGGCAGTGTAGGGACCAGAAACCTGCATTTTTTAATATGCCTCGTAGGCTATTCCTATGTAGATGACATGTAGACTATATGTTGAGAAACATGGATATCTAAACCGTACTGAATTCTGGGCTTTGTCACTTATGTCTCTGTCCTCATCCATGTAGCTATATCCCTGCCATTCTCCTGGGGCTATGTAACAATTGTCCCTGTTATTTTGAAAAATAAAACCTTTTATTCACTAAGGAAAAATAAATGAAAGCTGCTCATCTTCATTGGAGGTTTTAGCAATATAAATTAAACCAACAAAAGTATACCAATTTTCACCTATCAGATTGTAAGAATTTTGAAATTTATGATGTCCAGTTAGGGCAAGGTTATGGAACATGACTAGTCTGTTGTTTTATTGTAGAAGTAGATAGCTTTCCTGGTGAGCAAATTGGTAATATACATTAAGAGCCTGAAAAATATTCCCAGATAATAATTCTGCCTCTAGAATTTTTTAGTAAAGTAATAAGCAGATGTGAACCAAATTTTTTCTGCAAAGATGTTCATTGCAGCATTTTTAAAAGCAGAAGTTGAAAACAGTGTAAACATCCAATAGTAAGTAGATGATTAAGTTATTATCATAGCACCAGATGTGTTCTAGCCATTTATAAATGTCACATTTGTAAAGAATATTAAGTGTCACCACAAAGATACAAAGTTTGTTGAAAAAGAGGATACCAAACAAAATGTGATATGCAAATTTTATATTAAATGAATATACATATAAGTAGAGAAAAAAGGAAAAGATACACTAAAATGTTAATAGTAGGTGTTGGTGTATGTTGGGATTCTGGATTATTTTTAATTTTATCTTATTTTTTGTATTTTCAATGTTTCTAGTTACTATTTGCTTGACTTTTATTTCTGAATACAGTGTTTAAAAATAAATATTTTCTCTTAATAGAACTTTAAGCTCATTGAGTTGAATACATCTCAATGCAAGAAAATTTTACATTAGTAATAGGTATGTAAGTGAGTATTTGAAATAATATCTGTAACTCTGGGACTGATTATGATGTTAATTAAGATCTTAATGAGTATCCTGATAAATGGGACCTAATGTAGTCATTTATTTAATATTACTATTGCTTTTCAGCCATTTGGAGACTAAAACAAAGGTGCAAGATGGGTGCTTAATTTAAGTAAATTAGCTTTAGTGTGCCATGTTAGAATAAGTTGAATTACCAGTGAATGCTTGCAATGAATTTTTTTTTAAAAAATAAAAACAGCAAACTATCGTACTTAAATTTTATGTTTTTGGTATTTCAAATCCCATTTAAAAGCATTTGAGAAACATATTCAGTCTCATTAGTAATTAGGGAAATGATAATTTTTAAAATTTTGAATGACATAACATTATTTTACATCCTTGTTTATTTTTTTTTACAATGTAGGATTTCTCCCCTTAGGTGAGGTCACCATAGTTTTCCCACCATCAAAGCATCAATAGTCCTCTGCCATATTATACTGTGCTCTCCCCTCATACAGTCTTTCTCCCTTCCCCCTCCACCTCCTCCTAAATGTCTCAAATCTATGATCAGTTTCAAGGGTTGGTTTTAAAGTTTGTATTTGTCTGATCCTTTAAACCAAAGAATTCTATATTCTACATATATGTGAAAGCATCTGGTATTTATCTTTCTCCTTCTGGCTCACTTCACTTAGGTTAATCTTCCATTTCCATTTCCATCCATGTTGCCACAAATGACATGAGTTTATATTTTTTGATCACTGAATAGTATTCCATATATATATATATATATGAAATATATATATATATGGAATACCATATATATATATATATATGTATATATATCTTCTTGATTGAGTCATCTGTTCTGGAGCATTTAGGTTGTTTCCATATCTTGGTTATTGTAAATCGTGCTGTAAGTTTCCTTTAGAATTAGTGTTTTTGTGTTCTTTGGATAGATACATAGGAGTGGAATTACAGGGTTCTATGGTAGATCCATTTTTAGTCTTTTGAGGAACTTCTGCTTTTCTTTCCATAGGGTCTGGACTAGTCTACATTCCCACCAATAGCGTGAGAAATTTCTTTTTTCTCCAAACTCTCACCAGCACTTGTTTCTGGTTTTTGTAATATGGGCCATTCTCACAGGTGTGAGGTGGTATCTCATTGTGGTTTTGATTTGCATTTCCCTGATGATAAGTGATGATGAACATTTTTTCATATGCCTGTTGGCCATCTGCATGTTTTCTCTGGAGAATTGCCTTTTTAGTTCTGCTGCCCTTTTTTTGATTGGTTTGCTTTGTTTTTGTTGAGTTGTATGATCTCTTTGTAGATCTTTGATATTGGTTCCTTGTCAAGTGTCTGGTGTACAGGTATTTTCTCCCATTCAGTGGAGTGTCTGTGTTTTGGTTACTGTCTCTTTTGCTATACAGAAGTTTTTTAGTTTGATGCAGTCCCAGTTGCTTATTTTCTCCTTTGTTTTCCTTGCTGCTGGGGAGGAGTCCTCAAAGATGTTTCTGAAGTTCATGTCATAGAGTATTTTGCCTGTGTTTTCTTCTGTGTATTTATGAATTCAAGTCTTACATCCAAGTCTTTATCTTCGTGTATGGTGTGAGATAGTGATCTAGTTTCATTCTTCATATTTGGCAATCCAGTTTTCCTAGCTTCATCTTTATTGAAGAGGCTTTCCTTGTTCCAGTGTATTTAGTTTGCTCCTTTGTTGTAAATTAGTTGTCCATACATGTGTGGCTTTATTTCTGGGCTTTTGATTCTATTCTTTTGGTCTGTGTGTCTGTTTTTGTTCCAGTACAATGCAGTTTTAATTATCATGGCTTAATAGTATAGTTTCAAATCAAAGTGAGATACATCCATTTTTCCCCTTTTTAGTCTGGAGAGCTTTGGCTATTCGGGGTTTTTTGTGGTTCCATATGAATTTCAGTAATCTTTGTTCTGTTTTTTTGAAGAATGCCAGGGAATGCTAATTTAAACCAAAAAACATTTTATCCCTAAAAATGGCAACAACTAATTTTTTTAAGATTTATTTTTATTTATGCATACAAGAACTGGGGTGTAGGCCATAGGTCTAGGGGGTGAGAGGATTCACCAGAGACAGAGTGGGAAGCAGAACATGTGGATCTACTGAAATATACTGCTGAGGGGAGCAGTGGGCAAGACAGGGGAGGTTTGCTGCACCATGAGGGTTAGCTCCCTGGCCGGGATTGAACTCATGTCACAGTGGCTGTGGTAGCTTGATAGTACTGAGACGTTAACTCCTGTGCCACCAGGGGGGCTAAACAACTAATTTTTAATACCCAAAGTTGCTAAGTACATGAGCAACTTGTACCATCATGCACATTGGTTGGAATGTATACTCTTGGAGCAATACTATCGAAGGATGAAAGTATACTTACCTTTTAAGTGCTCACAGTTTCCTTCTTGGAATCCTTCTTACAGAAATATATGGGTGCATTGTAGTAGTGAAAATTTGGAAACCATGTTAAAGGTCATCAGTAGGGGAATGGATAAATTATATCTTCAGTATCATATAACTGTTAAAAAGAATGAGGTTGGTTTGTGTTACTGACATGAACAATCTCTAGGATATTATAAAGCAATTTGCAAAATACGTATAGTATGACCCCACTTGTGTTGAAAAAAATAGTATATATTTAGGCATGTAAATGAATTGAAATAGTGTCTGATGCTACACAACTAATTGTTCATGGTGATTAGATCTAGCAAGGAAAATGGGATTGCAGGGTCAAGAAGGTGATTATAGGGGTTATCACATTTTAGTCATCATTCCTTTATGTCTTTACTATTGTTTAAATTTTTTATAATGCCCATACATACACATATATGTATATTTATGTAAATCTGCTCCAGGATGCTGTCCTTTTCCATAATACCATTTACTACAACCTCTTATATGGAAACATCAATGCTTCACCTGAGGAGGTGTATACAGTGGCAAAGTTAGCTGGACTTCACGATGCAATTCTTCGAATGCCACATGGATATGACACTCAAGTAGGGGAACGAGGACTCAAGCTTTCAGGTAATCAAATAGTTTAGACCTACTACCCACTGGTATACTTCTTTCAAACTTTAATTTATCAGAGCCATTTTCTGTAAATGTAATGATAGAGTACAAATTTAGTCCTCATCCAGTCACTTATTTATTTATTTATATAAGCACTGGGTACAGTCAGAAGCGCAGGAGGGTGAGAGAATTCACCTGAGCCAGAGCAGGGAGCAGAACAGGCAGACTGACGAAATACACTGCCTCATCCAGTCACTTTTGATGAGATCCTCAGTCTCCTATTCTTCACTATAAACAATCTAACATGCTAGAAATAACTGTCCAAGTCATGCTTGTCTTTTTTATTCATTTGTAAGTACTTAGTAGTAAGTGATTAATAGTAAGTTATTGATACATATTCAATCAGTGTTAACTTGATAACCATAATTTTCATATCAAAGGAAAACCAAGATCATTATTTACCTCAGGAAGTAGCTACAGGAGGGCAGGCGGGAAAAGTATTTTAGTAGTAAATAATATATATCATGATAATTTCCTAGATCATTACAGGATATTTTCATTACTTTTGACGACCTTATACTTCATATACTTAACTGCTTTACTTTCCTTATAGCTAAAAGTTAATGTTTATGTCCCTACTGTTTCAGTGGTCAAGTAAATTTGGTGGTTTGTACATTTCTATTTAAGTGTTTAATTACAAGATTGCTAAGTTTACAATGAATTATCCTAAAATGACTTTGAAATTTTTAGAGAATCCATAAAAGTGTTTCTTTGCCCCACTTTTTTGTATTCCAAAAGTCTAATGATATCTAATGCCTGAAATAATCAGTGGAACTCATACAAACATACAACATTTATCTCATCTATTCTTCATTTTAGTTTAGTTTGAGTGCAAATGTATAGATTAAGGATGGGGTTAAGGCAAAAAGAGAATAAAGAGTTTTCATGAATCCACGTTCCTCCCCATTATAAACTGGCTTCATTTATAACATCAATTAGGTACATATTGTTTGCAAACTACTATGCTAAATGATTTTAGAGTTAAAATTAAAAAAGATGACGCATAAACAAAACCGCTTTCAAGGAATTTGTATTCTATTAGAAAATTTTGATACAGTTTTAGAAAATGCTAAGCAGATTATTTTCAGGTTAAGTTGTTTTGTAGTAATTTGGTTATTACTTGGTGGTATAAGATGCTCAGATCATTTCCGTCCACATTTATACATTACTATAACTCTTAATAGGTGTAGTTTCCAGTTACTAGCCCACCCCCATATTATGTGTCCATCTGATTAATCTAGAGCTCCTCATATAATATAGACTATCCTCTTGTATGACTGCTTCACATGCCATGCCACGTTCTTTTTTTCTTTCCTCTCTGCATGCCTTTAGGGTTGGGAATGGCTGAAGAAATTTTATTCTTTTTTTTTTTTTTTTTTTTGAAGATTTATTTATTTATTTATACAAGCACTGGGTACAGTCAGAAGTGCGGGAGGGTGAGAGAATTCACCAGAGCCAGAGCAGAGAACAGAACAGAACAGGCAGACTGACAAAGTACACTGCTGAGGGGAGCAGCAGGCGGCAGGAGAGGTCTGCGTGCCTTGTGGGGAATCTTGCCCGGAACCTTGCCTGGCGGCCAGGGATTAAGCCGGCGCTACAGAGGCTGCAGGCAGTTTTGCAACCCAGCGCTCAACTGCTGCGCCACTGGGGAGGACCAGAAATTTTATTCTTATCTCCTTACAACCAAACCTCTTAAAATGAGTATTATATTATTATTTAGCATCTATGCTAATAATTATGTTAGAGAACAAACAAATCTTTCTTCTCCAGGTTCCAACATTCTATTAAATACAGTTAAAACTGGGTTGGTTTTCACTTGAAATTTCAGAGGTATGTCAAAACTAGTCCTTACTCTAAGTTTCTACTTCCGTTAGGAGCTTTCTGCTGCTGAGTTGCTAGTTGGGTAAGCAGATAACTCTGGTATGATGCCTGGCATCATTGAAGAATTTTGACCTTATGAAATAGGGAAGACTATGGATAGTATCACTATAAATTTACTACTATTAGACATAAGGAGCACCCTTTATTTTTTAAATGTAGCCATGAAGACCAAATAAAAATAAAATAATGCTTGGTATACCAGATAATTGACAGGGAGAGCTTACTTCCTGGAGAGGTTACTGAAGCTGAAAAATCTAAGTTTTTTCAGACGTTTGTAAATTAATGGATAATAGACAAGAAACCACAAGGCGACATCTCCTATACATCCAGCAATAGTTCTATGTAATATTGATAACTTTAGACCTACCACGGTCCCATTATTTTTACTGCAATATATTTCACAACAAATATGGGCTTGCATATTATAATAGGAAGAGCACTGGATTGGGGTTAAGTCAGATCTATTCCAGATACCACTGGAACTTACTCTGTAATTTCGAGCAAATCACTTAACCTTTCTGGACCTCTGTTTCTTTTGAATTTTAAAATGTCGCTGTTTGAGACCCATGGCAAATAACCAAGATGAAATAAACAGTATCAAATATATACCCTTAACTTGGAAAAATGCTGTTAAAATAATAGCTTATATCAAAAAATATCCTTGAAAATGGTCCTTTTTTATGTTGAGATAAAATTTAGTTATTCATAATTTCATGAATTTGTGTCTTGAAGTTTTGGGGTTTCATATACTATTTTTTTTGTTTTGTTGATTCCTTAATACTGAAATTTTTCTAAGATTGCTCTTTACTGGGCAGTACCTATGAGAAAAAGTAGCATGTATATAATGAGCATATTTCTGGTAAGAGGAATAATTGCAAAATCAAAGTTCTTACCTTCCTACCTTATTCTTTTTATCTTCCATAAAGTCAAAATCAGAATTACATTCATGTTTCAGGAAGTATAGTTTGACAAAAGATACCATATGTGAACTTAGATTCTAACAGCTTAGTATATTCAACAGTGATCAATAGAAGAGATAAATGTTGATGGTATAATTTGGTAGTTATAATCAATGGAAATAGTAGAAGAATAAAATATGTCTGTATGCTACGCTTCCTTAAACTAAAATTTTTCTTAACAGGAGGAGAAAAGCAAAGAATAGCAATTGCAAGAGCCATTTTGAAGGACCCCCCAGTCATTCTCTATGATGAAGCCACTTCATCATTAGATTCGATTACTGAAGAGGTAAATACTGATGAAAATTCTTCAATTCTCAGTGCTTAACTTTTCTCTTTGTAAATTTCTGTTAATTGACTACATTCTTTTAATATTCTGAATGAACTTCAATTGGAGGTGCTATAAAGCAAAATACCTAGCCCTTTCCCCCCAGATAGCAAGTGCTAGCTATCACATTAAGTCCATTTGCAAGTGCATCTCCTTTTGGAACCACTTGACACCTTATGCTTTTGTTGTATTACTGTTGTATCTTGTAAGACTGACGGACTCACATAATTTGCTGACAAAGGAAAAAGGCTTTAGTCTTTCTGCCAGTGCTACTTAATACTCATTAAAACAGGTCATGTGAATGATTGTGACCCAGTACATGCCAGAAAGCCTTTCAGCTTATCATGGAGCAACTTATTGAGGCGCAAGTCAAGCACACACAGTCTATGACCTGGTCTTAATTTATATTTGTTTCATAGGAAATACTGTGAAACACCAAGATATTGTGGCACTCAGCAACTACACTGGACTTCATAACAACATTTTTTAAATTAAATACAAGTCTCAACAACAGCGATAATTTCCTGAACCAGTTCCCTTAATCTAGAACTGATGATAGCAGATGTTATTTGCTACTTGTCTCCATTCACCTACATTTTATTGAATATATGGTAAAAAAAAAAAAAAAACAACTATTGTTGAAGGACAGACCTAATTTCAGCTTTAGACCATTTATGACATGATATTTGTGTGTGGGCTTAAGTTTCAGAACACATTATTTGATTTTTTTTAAAGATTTATTTATTTATTTATATAAGTACTGGGGTACAGGTCAGATGTTTGGGAGGGTGAGAGGATTCACCAGAGACAGAGCAGGGGGCAGAACGGGCAGACTGATGAAATACACTGCTGAGGGGAGCAGCGGGCGAGACAGGAGAGGTCTGCTCGCCATGTGAGAACCTTGCTAGCCGGCCGGAATCAAACCAGTGCTGCAGAGGCTGCAGACAGCTTCACAGCGCTGTGCTCAACCCGCTGCACCACCAGGGGAGGCCCCATATTATTTGATTTTAAGACAGCTTAATTTCTAAGTTTGATATGAAGGATTGTTATATTTAAAGGGAATATTACGTAACACCCGATCCCATTCAGATGAAGAACCTGCTTATATAAGCACTTCATACCAAAAACTGTGTGTTCCACATTTAACACAAAAGTCTGACTAGTAGTCATTATTTTAGTCACATAGCTGTATTATCTCACAGAGCTAGCAAAGGACTGCTCAAATTTGGTCCTTTTTTTTTTTTTTTTACGTAGAAGAACTGGGGTGTAGGCCAGAGGTGTGGGGGGTGGGAGGATCCACCAGAGACAGAGTGTGGAACTGAACAGGTGGATTGACTGAAATACACTGCTAAGGGGAGCAGCGGGCGAGACAGGAGAGGTCTGCTGCACCGTGTGGGTTCACTCCCTGGCCAGGGATCAAAGTCAGGTCATAGTGGTGATAGCACTGACACTTGACCCCTGGTGAGCCCCTAGGCCACCAGGGAGGCCCACATTTGGTCAATTTTAATGGGCCTTTTTTAAAAGTCTAGAGCATTCAGTATAATCTCAGAATTTAAGTTCAAGAGAATAAAGAAGAAAAGTTCCACAAACATTTACAGTTTTTCTTAGAATTGGCCCTGCATTTGATTTCCAGTCTGCCTAGTAAAATATGATGTCCTTTCCTGGTAACCATTATTCTTGGTAATTTTATTTCTTTAATAAATACAATGTTTAGAAATATTTTTAGAAACTTTTGGTATCTACCCCCCACCTCCACCCCCACACATATATACCTTATTTCCATCTGGACAGCTGTACTCAAGTTTCCATGTATACCTGAATATATATATACAGCTCTCTTCAACTTTACAGACAGTAAACAAAAATGTACTTTTCAGAATGCATTAAAAAGTCACAGTGGTTTTGAAAAAGAAGTTTCCTCAGGTTAAATGTACAATTCAATTTGTCATACCCTCTGTCCTGAGTTTGAATTAAGGAAGAGCAAATTCTTCTGTACCCTTTGAGTATTTCTTTGGGAGACTTTTTCAAGTCCCAAAGATTTGAAAGACTCAAATCTTTCTTTTGATTTTTAAAAAATTTCTCTGCATTCTATCACTTGAATAGCTCCTCATTTTATTTTTTCTCTCATTGACCAGATAAACATTATATTGGGTTGTCAGAAAAGTCATGATACATTTTTGCAACAGATGACTCACTAGTGGAAGTATTAGAGCCATTCGCATCTATGTTATTGCTGGTCATTTGACAGTTGACCATTCTAGCTTTATTCTAAATAAATTGAGGGCCTCCCTGGTTGCACAAGGGGTTAAGTCTCAGTGCTATCACCTCTACAGCCTGAGTTGGATGCCTGGCCAGGGACCTAACCTATCTGTGGCGCAGCAGACCTCTCCTGTCTTGCCTGCTGTTCCCCTTTAGCAGCGTGTATTTCAGTAGATTTGCCTGTTCTGCTCCCCACTCTGTCTCTAGTGAATCCTTTCACCCCCTGCACCTCTGACCTACACTCCAGTTCTTGTATGCATAAATAAATAAAATAAAATTTTTTTAATTGAGCAATTTGGTTGAGTTTTAGAGATTTTACAAGTTGAAGATAGAAGACCAAACTCTGCATTTTCACCATATTTTACTGTTTTACTTCCGTAAAGTGAAGAACGTGCGTCAAGCCTGTGAGAAGTTGCATAAAGTAGTTTATGGTTAGAATGTGCCACAAGAACGTCAGTGCTGACGATGGTTCACGAAATTCCATGCTGGTGATTTTGATCTCAATGATGCTCCTCGGTCAGGGTGGCCCACCAAGGTTGATGACAGCAAAATAAAGGCATTGATCAAGTCAAACCCACATTACATGACATAAGAGATTGCAAAAACATTGAACATCCATCATTAAAATGTTCACAACCACCTGAAAAAGCTGGGATACAGTTAAGCAAGCTCGATAATTGGGTTCCTCATGAACTCAAAGAGTTCATTTGACGACCCATATAAACATCTGCAATATGCTTATTAAATGTGAGAAAAATGATCCTTTTTTGAAGCGACTGATAACTGATGATAAGTAGATTCTTTACAACAATGTGGTGTGCAAACGGTCATGGTCCCAATGTGATAAGTCACCTCAAATGACATCAAAATATTCAGATATTCATCAGAGGAAAGTTATGCACTCAGTGTAGTGGGATTTTAAAGGTGTCGTGTTTTTTAAACTCCTACCAAGGAACCAAACAACCAATTGAAATGTGTACTATCAGCAACTGGGCAGTTTGAATGAATCCATCATCCAAAACTGTTCAGAGTTTGTTAATTGTAAAGGAGTTGTGTTCCATCATGACAGTGCAAGACCACACACAAGTGGGATCATCCATCAGAAATTATTGGAGTTTAAATGGGATGTTACCACATCCACCATACTCACCTGATCTTGTGCCATCAGTCTTCCACATGTTTTGCTCTCTTAAATAAAACTCCTTGCGTGGTATAACATTCAATTCAGATGAGGCTGTAAATCAGCACCTTGTTCAGTTTTTTGCTGATAAAAATATGTCCTTCTATGAGCAGGGAATGATGAAGCTCACTGAAAGACAGCAAAAGGTTATCAAAAAAAAAAAAAAAAAAAAAACAGGCGGGCCTCCCTGGTGGTGCAGCGGGTTGAGCGTAGCGCTGTGAAGCTGTCCGCAGCCTCTGCAGCGTGGGTTCAATCCCGGCCAGCCGGGGAGGATCCCACATGGTGCAGCAGACCTCTCCTGTCTCACCCGCTGCTCCCCTTAGCAGTGTCTTTGGTCCGTCTGCCTGTTCTGCTCCCCGCTCTGTCTCTGGGAAATCCTCTCACCCTCCTGCACATCTGGCCTGTACCCTGGTTCTTGTATAAATAAATGAATAAATCTTTAAAAAAAAACAGGCAATATATCATTGATTGATCTTTATTCTTGATATTAGTAAATGACCTTTGAAAAATACAGAAAAAAAATCATGACTTTTCTACAACCTAATAGTTGGCTCTGCTCATATCATTGGAGTCATCATTATTTGTTTTTAAGTATAGAAAATATTCATAACCTCCTCCCAAACTTTGTAATTTAAAGAAATGTTGCATATCTTTTTTAAAGTTTATTTTATTTATTTATGCATACAAGAACTGGGGTGTAGGCCAGAGGTGTGGGGGGTGAGAAGAGTCACCAAAGACAGAGTGGGGAGCGGAACAGGTGGATCTACAGAAATCCACTGCTAAGGGGAACAGTGGGGAGACAGGAGAGGTCTGCTGCGCCATGTGGATCAGCTCCCCTGGCTGGGGATTGAATTCATGCTGCAGTGGCTGGATAGCTTGATAGCGCTGAGACATTAACCCCTGCGCTACCAGGGAGGCCCAATGTTGCATATCTTAAAGTCATGTTTGCCTTCTCTGTTTGATTGATTTTTCTCCTATTTAGTAATTTATGAGATTAGGTCACGTTTTTGATAGTGGTATAAAGTTTACACAATGTATAATTAATTGGAATTTTATGTGTTCCTTTAGGAAATGTGTAATTATTTTGATTTACATTTGCCTAGTGTATGGATCTTATATTCCTTCTTCCTCTTTGTTGTCAAACTTGCAGACTATTCTTAGTTCCATGAGGGATGCAGTCAAACACAGAACTTCTATTTTCATTGCACACAGATTGTCAACAGTGGTTGATGCAGATGAAATCATTGTCTTGGCCCAGGTAAGAGAATTAACTTTTAAAGTTTAATACCTGAAGAAAATTGGAAATTATTATAAATAGAACTTAAGTAGTTTTTCTAAAGAATTTGTATTCTTAGAATGAGACTGAATCCTGGTAGGTTTCCATTTTTACCCCCTTTTGATGGGAAATAATATGTGTGACTTCCAAAAAGGAATGAACTGTATTAACTCACTCTATGAAAGTTTTAATAGCAAAATTATATCAGGAAAGCATTAAATCATTGTATGATACAAGTAGGTTTTAAAAGTATGTATGTAAATTTTTTCTCTATTCATTTTTGCTCTAGAGAATCTTTGATCAGTCTCTATTGTATTTTATATCTTCATTTTTCTAATAACTTGATGTCTAAAAGAAAACTACCAGAAAATCAAGTGGTTGTTTTCAACCATGACCATTTTTATTTTATCTTTTTCCTTATGGGGAAGATAAAGAAAAGGATAACCTGCTTAATCTCTTCTGAGGAAATTCCTATCTAAATGTCCTAAACCTAAACAAATCAGAGTACTGTTATTGTGATTGGTAGATTTGAAAATTGTAGTGCTTCTCCTTTTCTCCTCTCTGTAAGGCTATGTTCTCCCTATGTTCTCCCCTATGTTCTCCTGATTATGGCTAACACTGTTGATTTTTGCCTCACATTCAGCCTTTTTGATGATTATTTTTCACTTCTAATAAATAAACCTTTATTTGAAATAATTTTATTTTATTTATTTTGAAAGCCTGAGTATTGGGAGTTAAGAGAAAAGACACATGTACTTACTATAGAATTTTGGGGGTAATTTTTCATGCTGCTAAAATTCTTATAGGTTGTTTAGCTCTGTGGTGGTTATATTATGTCCTTTATAAGTTACATATACACTTGAGACCCTAGGTCTTTTTGTTGGTTTGTCCATAAATGCTTATATTCATTAGAAAATAAATTGATTATTTTTCAGTATGACTGTACTAAATATCTTAAATGGGAAATTTTGTAAATATACCCTATTATCTTCTTGATGTTCAAGAATATGAAATAAAATCTGCTGTTTTGTGCTTTTCATTAAACTTTACATTTATATGCAGTAATGTAGATGGAGCTTTTTTTTGTTTTACAAATGTAAAATGTTAAAGTACTTTAGCAGGCCTGTGCTTATCTGCCTTATACCATGAGGTTCAATATCTAAGCAGTTATATTACAACATTGGCACTTGGGTTTTAGATTATAATTAGAAATAATTTATTAATGATCATAGCACCTCTATGTAAAATTTTTCTATGCTTATAATTTGATGGTTCTTTAATTGCTTGGTTATTAATATCAAAGATTTTAATTTTCTAGTTAAACCAGTGTAACCTCATGTGCTCTGTCAGCAGTCTCTTATAATAATAGTAAGTCCACCTATGAAATAGTGTTCTCAAGGTCCTTCCTCAATCCTTGAGGCCTGGTGATTATCCCCTTCCAACCTTAGCAAGAGGCTGTAGGTTTATCTATCAGAAAATTAATAATTCAGTCCCTTGAGTCAGAAACACAAGGAAGATACTCAGCACTTTAACAAAGAGGAGAGAGATTAACTTGAAATCAAAAGATACTGATGGATAAGATCACACCAATTGTTTATTTTTTCTACCACCACTCCTTCCCTCATAAGTAGATAATTTAAGTGTTCTTTGGAGAAACAAAAGTGGTCCTCGGAAAAAGAAAAGAGATTCATATTTGGGGACCCCAACAAAATGACCAGGTACCCACTTGTTCATCCAACAGTGAAAAAGTTGAAAAGCTTACTCAAGCACACAGGATTGGTCAGCTTTTTAGTCCTTCCGTCTTAAATGTCAGTGCACAATAAAGACCTCCAGAACAAGCAGGAAAAAAAGGAATTCAGTAGCAAATGTGAAAAATGCCAAGAGCATAAGAAAACTTTAAACATATAATTAGAATCATCCAGAAATATAGCATTCTAAAGTAAGGATAGATGCTGTTAGAAAAAAGGAGACTTATATGGCATGAGTTCCAGGATATGTTCTTAAATGAATAAAAGTAAGTTGCAAAAGACTATCTAGTGTGCTACCTTTTGCAAGGGGGGTGGGGGGGGGACAGGAATATACGTATATCTACTTATTTCTGCAAAAAGAAACTCATGGAAAATAAAGTAGAAACTAAAGAAACTGGGTACTGACAGGACTGGCTACTGATAGGGTAGATGGAAATAGAAGAGAGAGGGGAGGGAAGGAGACGCCTAATTATGCTTTTTTGTATTTTATTTTTACTTTGAACAATGCTAATGTTCTTATATATTCAAATACTTAAAAATCAATAGGATGGAGAAAAAAAATGAATACAGAGTGAATTATAATTACATGATAAATAAATAAATAACATAACCATACAGAAAGAAAATATATTTAAGCCAAGTAACTTTTACTCTGATTATATACCTTTTGTGTAATATATTAAGAACAAAAATAACTGAAAGAAAATATAAACTTAAGAAGTTGGTAGTAGTAGTATTGGAATAGCCATTTTGAAACTATTTTGTATCTATTGTATGACTAAATAAATACACTAATTAGTATTGTTGGGAAACAGGTCTTTCTTAGGAAAAGAAAGATACAAATATGGAATGGGAGAAGAAGAGAAACAATTCTGTGATGTTACATTGGAATAGAATTATCACTATGAATTCATTATAGAAAAAAAGTTTCTGATTCTGTTCACTGAGTGCCAGATCTTCCATAATAGAAAATATATGTGTATATGTGTGTGTGTGTGTGTGTGTGTGTGTGTATGTTTGTGTATATGTTTGGAGGAGGAGCCAAAACTGTTCTTTCTGGTTTAAGCTTTGAAATATTACTGGACTTTAAACTATATACATATGTGTTTTAATTCAAATAAAACTTTAATTTATGCATTTTATTGCATGATAATTTTTTGTGATTATTTCATTGGTATTTTCACAAAAATAATTCTATTCTCTGTAATAATTTTTTATGAGATTTTTCATTTAAGAATTTATTTTGTATTTGACACAATAAAGAGAAGTTGAAAATGAGTAATCATGGGGACTTTCGTGCCAATGAAAAGGTATACATATAACAGAGTTGAGTACTGCATTCTTCAAGACCCAAAGCAGTTAAAACATCTAAGCACAGTTATTCTTTCTTAGACTGCCCATCCAATAATCAAGGAGGATGCTTAAATTAAACACTCAGAAGTGGACACAGACAAATTTCAGTTATTTTGCTTAAGGATATATTTTTAAAGGTCCTATCACCAGGAGTACCAGTAAAGGTGACAAAATTCCCTTTGTCTCCCAGCATGTTTAACAGTCGATGTCAAGAGACATATTAATTATAGATAAGAGTTTAGAATCTTTACCAAATCTACCCAGTGTTAGATTTAATAGTCATTGTTAGCGGGCTTCCCTGGTGGCGCAAGTGGTTAAGATGCAACCTATGAAGCAATCTGCAGCCTCTGCAGCACAAGTTTGATCTTGGCTGGCCAGGGAGCAACCCACATGGCGCAGCAGACCTCTCCTGACTCACCCACTGCTCCCCTTAGCAGTGGACTTTGGTCAATCTGCCTGTTCTGTTCTCCGCTCTGTCTCTGGTGAATCCTCTCACCTCTTGCCTGTACCCCAACTCTTATATGTATAAATAAAAATAAATCTTAAAAAAATAATCATTGTTAGCAGAAACAGCTCCTGGAAGAAGTAAACTTTCCATGGAGAAATCTTTTTTTATTTCAAAGTACACAAGGATTTGGGTATATTATTTTAAAATCCTTTAGATCCTTGTATAAATAACAGTGCTTTTGATTAAATGCTTATGATTACAGAAAATATCACCCTTAAAAATATTTTGCCTTCCTTTTTTTGCCCTTCAAAATGAAAAATTAAACATTAGAGTTTGATATCCATTAGGTGAAATAGTTTGCAGTATATGGAATTCATAGCTTTTTGTTTGTCCACTGGAGTGATAATGCAGCAGTGAAGAAAGCATTACTACCTCAAATTTTCCCACTTATACTATGGATAAACAGTTGGGACAGCTATTTTCATGAGTCAAATCCTTAGATAGTGTTATGTATTTTCAGTTGTTATGCTGGTTAATATGACCTTTTTCTATGTTTCTCTGTTTTTGCTTTCTTAGGGTAGAGTAGCAGAACGTGGTACCCACCATGGTTTGCTTGCGAACCCTAGCAGTATCTATTCAGAAATGTGGCATACACAGAGCAGCCGTATGCAGAGCCATAACCCCAAATGGGATGCAAAGAAAGAAAATATGTCCAAAGAGGAGGAAAGGAAGAAACTACAAGAAGAAATTGTCAACAGTGTGAAAGGCTGTGGAAACTGTTCCTGCTAAGGCACATGAGACATTTTCTTTTCTTTTTCTTGACCACATATTTGCACTGAAGCAGAATTGTTCTATTAAAAAAAAAATCACACATTCTCATTTTCTAGAATCCTTTTAGATAAGATTTATTTGAAAGGGGATTTGAGTTTTACATCTTTACAGTTGATTTAATGTAGTATCTATATTTATCCCCCAATTGTTTTCCTCTTACATCCTTAGATGTGTTCAAAGCATAATTTTTGTCACTGTTTTACTTCACCCCATTTCATTTCTGAGGCTATTAGATATCCACAACCAAATGAATCAAATTGCTTTCCAAATTTTTGTAGTTTTTAAATCCTCCTCAATGCTGCCAATCTAGATGGAAAGTGTTTCTATTTTTTAAAAAAAAAAAAAACAAAACAGGAAATTGGAGGTTCATTGGTTCTCTTCCCCATCCCTCACTAAAATACTTCTGTGATATGAAATGAATTTATAAGCACATTAAAAATTAGAGCTTGCCAGAAATAGACATGCATACTTCAGATGTCTTGGTGTAGATATCTATAATTACATTTTAAAAAGTACTTGTCATTATAAACCTTTTGGAAGAAAACCCTTAATTCTCATGTTGGTTTGTAGAATAGTCATCATCATTAACCATTATTATAACTATCATCTAGGACAGGAATTTTATTTTTCCACCAAAACCAGGTGTTGCTCTATCTTGGACCAAAATGCATTTCTTTTAAATTAACAGCATTATGTAATTTGAGAGTTGCCATACTGGGAGTAATCTAAAAAACCTAGGAAGTTGATGGTCTTTTCTATTTCCATCTCAAAAGCATTGCTTTTGCTATTTGAAATTATACAAAAAAACAACTAGGTGGGATGTGCACATGCACATATATTTGTTTATTTGCACATGTTCACACATGTGTAGAGCAACATCCACCTAAAAATTATTAAGGACTTCAGTACATAGGAAAAGATTAAGTATATATATATATACTTCAAATGATCAAGACAAAAGTCTGTGAACATTTCAGAATTACTTCATTATAAGGTCTTCCCTTTTCAGGAATTTAATGGGATCTTCTAAGCTTGAACAATATAATCCAAGTTTTACCTGCTAGAAATTATTAGAAAATGTTAGTATTTATTCACTTAGAAAACGCCTCTCTTTTTCAACTCGAATTTGCTTTAATATGTTTAGTAGTAATGATTTCGTTTGAAAAACTTCTCTATTTCATGGATGGCCAATAACTTAATATAATGAGATTTTATTTCTCAGAAAAGGAATTAAGGTATTTTATTGGATTATGATTTAAATGTGTTTTAAATGATAATTTGGTGTATGTGAATCTAATAGATTGTTTCCTGTTTTGTGTTGTTGTCATTGGTATATAGATATCTGAACTTACCTAACTGGGTGTCCAGTTTTGTTATATAAAGGCTATTTGATAAGTAGCTTGAAGCCATTATTTCATACTCAGTCTTAGCCTCAAGAGTGATATAGGATCTTGCTTTTGAAATTGGAGTTAATACTGAGATATGTAATCAACTGCAAAACGGGGTTTTATGGACATTACTTATTCTGAAGCCATAGATTTTATTGCTCTGCTGACAGGAAAAAGAGTACTTCTGTTGACTAAATCAACTAGGAACAACTAGGAATGTGGTTAATCTAAATAGAATTTTTTTTTCTGTTAATTTCTTCTATATATATCCAGTGATACTGATGGAAAGATTTAATTTACTTGCATAATCAAGCAGGTAAAATTAAGGTAACCATTAGTAATATTCACTTGGAGTGTGAATAGTGGTATTCAAAGTATCACAGAAAGTGACTCTGTGATATGGGGAACATTTTGTCAAAGGACAAGAATGTTTTTAGGAATAAGTTCCCCACTAAGAGATTTGAAGTTATTTTCTTTTCATATGATTAAAGGTGGTCTCTAGACTGTTGGACTATTGTGGTCATTAGATCATATTTTCAACTAGTAAATCTTAAATTACCTGAAAAAACCTGGTTAGTATAAGGGCCATAACTAAATCTTAAAGAGTTTTCTTTCAGCGCTGTCATATTAAGGTTGCTCTACACTATGAAATAACTGACAAATTAAAATGAAAGAAAAGCCTCCTAAAATAGTCTCTCAGAGGAAATGCCCGGAGAAAGGGGCACTTGTTTTAATGTACTAATTCTACATTACAGTATTACATACCCACACAAGAGGATAAAGTATATAAATTTCTAAATCAATGTGACAGCATTATGTTTTTTGTTTTTTTTTGTTTGTTTGTTTGTTTTTGTTTTTGTGGGACTCTCGCCAGTGGCTGGGAACGAACCAGCGCTGCAGAAGCTGCGGGCAGCCTCGCAGCCCAGCGCTCAACCGCCGCGCCACCAGGGGAGGCCCGACAGCATTATGTTTTTTAATGTATTTGCATGAATAAACTAGTTTTGTCGCATGGACTCTGAAAATGAAACAATGATAGGGTTTTATTCTTATATCCCTTTATTTTAAAGATTGAAAATTTTAATTTTGCCCAAGGAAGTCCTAGTATACAAAAATTAAATTGAAACAATCATAATTTGAGATCATTCAAACTGGGTAGATGCCTACCTGAAGGTTTTTTTTAAATTATTTTGGTGAGCAAATGGAGTCATTTGGAAAATTTTGAACATAGTCTAAGGGTCACTTGCAGGAGTGAGAAAAAGGCCTTATCATTTTGACAAACTGAAAATACACATTTATGTTCCTCTGCAGGGATTTGCACCTTTTATATACCTTAAATATTTTCCTTTCCCCTTAGGTGTTGACAAAGCTCATTTTTTGAAGATGACTGATTTTAAAATGTTATCCTTTAAAAAGGTGAAATATTTAGAGATTATATGTTCTTATTACTGGATCACTACCCCATATTGCCATCTTGCTTCTATTGATCCTAATTGTTGGATGTGTCAGTGAGTAGCAACTTTTGCCAGTGTATATTCATAATTCTTTTACTTTGTAACTGTCCCTTATATGGATTAACATCTGAAAGCATTTAAATATGTTTGCAGTGGCTGCATTCTTAAATTATAAAAAGGTTCCTTCTCTTTCATCTTTGAATATATAGATTTTGATTGTAAACTGTATAGTACATGGCAATATTAAGTCAAATAAACTGATTAAAACAGTTAAGACAAAATAACTCAGTGAGGGAGGCTAATTCCCACAGTTTTATTGTTGTAGCTATCTGTGCAGATAATCTTTACTAAATAAACAATGTTTTTGTGACTAGAAATGGGTGTCCCATTGAAGCAACTCTGTTCTGCAATGCAAAGGGAAAACTGATACATTCACACATTCAGAATAAGTTCAGGGAGTTTATAGACACTCAGAGTAAGACCTTATAGCCTTATGCAGAAGGTGAAAATTTGGAATTCTCTCAGACAGAAAGTAATTGCAGAACTCATAAATGGGTAAAATTATACCAAATTACAGTGCTTTCAGTTAGCATTAACCTGTCATATTTTTGATGACCAGTTAGTGAAAGGCATCTTCAGTTCTGATGAATTAGGAAGGAAACTTTTAGGGTGGAGAAATGTCTTGTCTTTGAACAGTGTATTAAGCTAGCATTTTGATTAGTTTACCTAGAATTGAAATGAACTGCATGTTTTAATTAAAAACAGGTTGGAACATTTTTGGTCAATAAAAGGGCAGTGGATTATTTCCATATTTCTTGTTCTCACACAGCTACAGTAGAATGTTTTTCACTGATGACTCTATTTAATTTCTATTACATAGAAATCACAGGATTTTGGAGTTGGAAGGGATTTAGAATTCCTTTAATATAATTTCTTCATTCTATAAATAAGGAAACTGAACTTCAGGAGAAGTTGCTGAACTTGCTAGAGGACAGGCTGGAATGAAAACCCTGGCTTCTGATACCCAGTCTATTTCTGTTTTTGCTGAACCACATTTCCACTCAGAAGTTGTATTCAAAAATATATTGAAGGGTGAGACTTCCAGAATGACGAAGTAAGGAATGCAATAGACCCTCTTCAGCAAAACTGGTAAAACTTCTTTTAAAAAAGTACGATCAGTTAAAGTCTCTAGAAATTGTCCAAAGGGCATGTAGCGAACAGTGAGACATTCATTCCAAAAAAGCTGTTAAATCAGTAAGAAGAGCAAGAGTTTGTAGCATTTGAGAAGTGACCTAAATATCTTCCACCCGACCAGATCTGTGTTGCTGGTACTCTACTCTGGGTACTCTGTTCTGGGCAGCTTTCATGAAGATGGTGGGAGAGAGGGTGCCCTCTTCCCCACGCTCCCTCTCTGGTGCCATGGCTTCACCCTGGAGGCAAGCCAGGGTTGTCTGTGTTTCCACACCCTACCCCCTTATGTTACAGAAACTAGTTTAGGCAGCCACAACCAAGAGGAGTAGAGAGCATTTCCACCACCCGCTCCCCTCCCCATAGGATGCACAGGCTGAGAATACTGGAGCCCTGACTTTTTCTACTATAGGTCACTCAGAGTTTGAAGGTTTTACTCAAGGAGAGGAAAAATGATACTACCGGGGACCACAACCATTCCATAGTGCCCATTCATAGAGTGATGTTTTCACTCTGGGCATCCTGACCCCAACTCTGGTTCAGTGGTAGGCTGGTAGGCTTGTGAGAGGCCTGGAATGAGGACCAAGAACTCCACAGTTCTGCCTAAGGGAATTGACTTCATTGGAAACACTGCTTGGAGAGTTCCATCCTTAAGGGCATTGTCAAAAACAATGGAAATGATGCTGGGGAGCAATTCCGAGGAGCTGGTGCAAGCAAAGCATCAGAATAGCCCAAAGTTTAATTGAAGCAAAGATGGAACCAAGAAGAACCCTCCTGAGAGCATGGTGAGCTCGGGCTTCAAAAGGCTGTGTGTTCATGTTGGGCTACACGCAGCTCGGACAGCCAGCCCGAAGTATGGTGCAGTCTTGAAGCCTAATTGTAGAGTATGACCCACCGACACAGGGCAATAGCTTTGTTTCCACAGGGAACTTTTCAGAACATTGAATGAACAAAGAGTTTACACTCAAACCAGGGGTGACTCCTATGAACACAGGCTTAAAAATGGTCATACTCATTC